CGGCCAATCGTCTGCAGGCAGCGAGTCCCAAAACGAGTCGGCTGTTGACTGAAACAGTGACGCAGCAAAACTCTTATTTCGTTTGTAATATTTAATTCACCAAACAAAAACATTTAGAATAGAAACGGGTTTCAGCTAACGAGGGCTGTTAACCTGGACTCAGACCACAACTGTTTAGCTCCGCCCACCAAGTCCTTGGGTTCCGTGTGTGGTTCAGTGTGCTGGGGGTCAGATGGTGAGTTAGCTGTTGTCATTGAAAAGTTAGCCAACAAACAGCTAACAGAACTGGCCATGGATGTGTCTCTGCAACACCTTAAGTGCTAAATGACATCATATGTGCCATTGAAAATAAGGAATGTTGTGTAGCTGTGTTTGTTGACTTGGCTAAAGCCTTTGACTCTGTAGACCATCATCTTACTTAGCAGGCTCAAACATGTAGGACTATTTCAGACATCCGTGGCATGGTTCAGAAGTTATATCTTAGGCCGTACGCCAGTGAGAACAGAGGGCTACCAATCTGCTCCTCTACCTCCATCTACGTGTGTTCCTCAAGGGTCGACACTGGGCCCAACCTAATTCAGAATCTATATTAATAACATTGTTCATGCGGTTGACAGTTTTCATATACATTTATATGCAGATGACACCATTTTATATTCCTGCAGTTCTTCCTTGAATACAGCTTTGTCCTCCTTGCAGCACAACTTTAATCATCTTCAACATGCCTTCTCCAACCATCTTCTTTGTTTAAACACAAGTAAAACAAAGTTCATGATCTTCATCCGTAACTTTCCACCCTAGTATTCTTTCCCTGGATGTTACAGAACCACAGCTCATCAGTTCCTATAAGAATCTGGGTATCTGGCTTGACAGCACACTTTCATCTGACATTCTCATTAATTCATTACTTTCTAAAGTCAAGTCTGGAATCGGGTTTCTATAGCAACAGGTCATTCTTTACTCATTCTGCAAAGCAAACCTTGGTCAACATGACAATCCTTCCATCTTAGATTACGGTGACATCATTTATAGAACTACTTCTAAAAACTTCTTCATAAACTCTATGTCTTTTATCACTCAGCAACCCGTTTGGTTACTGGTGCCCCTTTCACTACTCATCATTGTGATCTGTACTCACTCGTTAACTGGCCATCCCTCCATTCCTGCAGAATGTTACATCGGTTAGGGTTCGGGTTAGTTTTACCCTAACCCGTCATATCTTCTCTCATTACTCATCACTTCCAACAACCAGCACCATTTATGTTGCAGTAACTTCATCTCTAAGGTTATTCCCAAAGCTCGCACCTCCTTTGGCCGCTCCTCATTCCAGTTTGCTGCTTCCAACGACTGGAATGAGCTGCAGAAACCACTGAAGCTCACTACAATGGTGTTCTGCTGAGCTGTGGTGGCCTCATGGAGGGGGCCATCGACTAGCACACTGCTGCTAACCACTTAAACATTCTCTCTCTCCTGATAATAACTTTTTACTCTCTTTGACGTTAGATGTGCTACTACTAGTTTACCCGTTTAATTAGAGATCCACTAGGATAAATACTATAAAGTTTATCTCTCACCAATATATACTATTTACTAAGAAATCACAATGTAACCATAGACACATTGCTTGGTGTGTGTGTGTGTGTGTGTGTGTGTGCGTGTGTGTGTGTGTGTGTGTGTGTGTGTGTGTGTGTGTGTGTGTGTGTCAGAACCCACCAGGGGTGGGCTGGTGCCACCTGCAGGCTGCTGATGTTCCTGCAGCCAGCACCGAGGGTCCAGAGAACCTCGTGACCGACTGGATCTGAGGAGCTCCTGCAGGTGATCAGACAGGTGTGTGAGCGGTAATCCAGGTGGATCTGGAGTCAGGTGCGGGAGGCGGCCTCACCTGTACACGAGCGTCTGCAGGTTCCGGCTATAGCAGCTGACGAGCCACAGCGTCCGGTCCGTGAGGATGTGAGGACACTGAGAGACGGAGAGCTGGAGGAGGCTGCCCCCTGCTGACCGCAGCAGCACCTCCAGCCCCACCTCCACGCTGCCTCTGAGAGACACACAACAACACAACCTCAGTGGTAGCTTGACCAATCAGACTACAGCTGTAGTGAGATGCTGTTTCCATGGCAACGTGCACACGCTTTTCCTTTTACAGATACGGACACTTTGCGTTTTCCTCTCTGAGCCTTGCTGACTGCTATAATCCCTCTGAGTTGCTGCGAGTTGTGAGGACCTTGACCTGGACCCAGAGGACCTCCTTATCAGAACATCTTCAGCAACACTCAGAGGAAGCAGCCAGAAGACCGTTTGGAAGCTTTGGAGTGGAGCTCTGATGAAACCAGGAAAGTCACCGTGTGTTTTTGTGGTAATCCTCTGGCGTCTCGTCGGCTCTGCGGCTTCGAGGCTTTAGGTTGTTGAGAACCACACACTGAGTTTGTGTGCACCACTGGGACAGGGTGCTCAGGAACTGCACACACAGACAAAACCTTCAGTTTTCTGCACATGAGGGCCACGTCCAGGTAATGATGATGTCATAACCATAGTTAGGTAGTAACAGTGTAGGTAATAACAAGATAAACAGAGACTGACCCCGCCCCCAAAAGTTAGCATCCGGACTGATGTTTGGGAGCGTTTGAGTTGTGACCCACCTCAGACGACACTCTGGCGTTCTGCAGTTGGAGGTGTGTCCAGACCGCTGGGTGCCTGGCAACAAACCGCCAATCAGAGCACACCTCCGCCGCCCGCAGCAATGAGCGCACGTCCAAATATGGGAGGACGCAGAAAAGCCACGCCCTCATTCTTACGGTGTCCGCCCCCAGCTGTCTGTTGCAATGATGACAAGAAGGGGTGGAGCTGGTGGAGGAGGGCGTGTCTGGGATGACGTAAGAATGACATGAAGGTGCTTTTATTCTGAAACCCCAGTAGGAAGTGACATCATCTGCAAACATCAGAGAGAAGCTACCTGATCCAGGTGTGTGAGTCCTGGCATAGACGAGCCTCCTCATGTCAGCGCTGCTCCACAAACTCTCCTCCTCCTCGGTGCTGGGGTGGCGAAGGTTTCTTCTGCTCCAGGTTGTCCCCCATCCTTCGTCTCCCATCCTGACAACGACCAGGAGTTTTACTGAAACTCATCTCTGAAGTACACACGTTTGTGCTTAAATACTCCCAAACAGGAAGTCTGATCCGATCCTCCTCAGTTCCCGAGAAACCAAAACACCACATCTGTCCACATTTACATCCCGGTGCCTTAACGAGGAAATCACTTTTATAAAAATGCAGTTTAATAAGAACCAGCATGAGGTAGACTGGTGGTTACCATGGTAACCCCCAGCGACTCACTGGCAGCAGCATTAACATTTCTATTTCTACAGAGTTTAGAAACCCAACGCTTTGACTCAGATTGGTTCAGGGTTGGTGATGGAGGAGAAGGACCCCTTTACCAGACTCGCTCCGCCCGGCTCCAGGGTGGAGCATAGTACGTCGGGTGGAGGTGGACCAGCCCCCCCTCACGATCCCAGACTCCTGATTCCAAAGACAAGGTCCGCATCTGATCCGTCAGACCGCTGGAAGAACCAAAGCAAGAGGAACTGGTTTGGTTCTGCTGGTGAGGATTTGTGTTTGTGCATCCTATCAAAGGGGCTCCTGCTCTAAATCAGGATTCCTGAGGTTTTCTTCTGATCTTATTATTTATTTAAGCCAAGACAAGATTTAATTTAAGCTAAATAATTATGACAATCCCTGATCAAACACGGTGATTACAGCAAAACCTGGTTACCTGTAGCGATGGTGGGCAGGATGCTGATCTCCTAGTCGGCAGGAGCCGGAGATGCTGTAGCTCCTCTGGAGGAAGAGGAGGAGAAAAACACAGAAGCAGCCATCTTTAGTTCATGTTAAACCAGGGCACTGAATGTGGTTCCCACCCTGTTGCCGATGGCTTCCAGCATCTTGTTGCTGATGATGTCATCAGTGCTTCCATCCAGACTGCGTCCACCTCGCCCAGGCACAGGGGAGTACACCTGTGAGTGTGTGTACGGGTCAGCGTAGTGCAGGTCATTGTCATGGTGACTCAGCAGCAGTAACTGTCTCTCTGCTCGGTCAGCCCGTTCCAGCAGCGTCTCGATGAACACCTGTTGTCAAATACATGTAACAGAACAGGTATCACCACAGGTAAACAGGTACACACACAGGTATACACACTAGTACACACGGATAAACACACTAGTACAAACAGCTACACACACAAAGATATATAAACTTGCATAAACAGGTATACACACTAGTACACACAGGTATAAACACACACAGGTATACACACTTGTATAAACATGTATACACACACACACACACACACAGGTATGCAAACTTGCATAAACAGGTATACATATTAGTACATACAGGCATACATACTTGTATAAACAGGTATAAACACTAGTACATACAGGTATACACACTTGTGTAAACAGGTACACACACAGGTATACACACACAGGTATACACACTTGTATAAACAGGTACACACACAGGTATACACACTTGTATAAACAGGTATATGCACTAGTACATACAGGTATACATACTTGTATAAACATTTATACTCACTAGTACATACAGGTATACACACTTGTATAAACAGGTACACACACAGGTATACACACTTGTATAAACAGGTACACACACACACACACACAGGTATACACACTTGTATAAACAGGTACACACAGGTATACACACTAGTACACACTTGTATAAACAGGTATACACACACTAGTACATACAGGTATACACACTTGTATAAACAGGTACACACACACACAGGTTTACACACTTGTATAAACAGGTATATGCACTAGTACATACAGGTATACATACTTGTATAAACATTTATACTCACTAGTACATACAGGTATACACACTTGTATAAACAGGTACACACACAGGTATACACACTTGTATAAACAGGTACACACACACACACACACAGGTATACACACTTGTATAAACAGGTACACACAGGTATACACACTAGTACACACAGGTATACACACTTGTATACACACTTGTATAAACAGGTATACACACACTAGTACATACAGGTATACACACTTGTATAAACAGGTACACACACACACACAGGTATACACACTTGTATGAACAGGTATACACATTAGTACACACAGGTATACACACTAGTGCATACAGGTATATACACACACACAGATATACACATATGTATAAACAGGTATACACACTAGTACATACAGGTATACACACTTGTATAAACAGGTACACACACACACACAGGTATACACACTTGTATGAACAGGTATACACATTAGTACACACAGGTATACACACTAGTGCATACAGGTATATACACACACACAGATATACACATATGTATAAACAGGTATACACACTAGTACATACAGGTATACACACTTGTATAAACAGGTATATACTCACACAGGTATACACATTTGTATAAACAGGTATACACACTAATACATACAGGTATACACATTTGTATAAACAGGTATACACACACACACACACACACACACACACACAGAGAGAGAGGTATACACATTTGTATAAACAGGTATACACACTAGTACATACAGGTATACACACACAGGTATACACTCTAGTACATACAGTTACACACTAGTACATACAGGTGTACACACAGGTATTCACAGAGGATCTGAAACGTTTACCTTAAATCAGGATTCAGGGGAGTGGTTAAACTCACCTGTAGTCTGGATTTGGCTTCAGCTTCTTTCTCTGCCGTTGTCCTCAGAAACATCTCGATGTCGGCCATGTCTCTGTAAAACAGCAGCAGCACACGCTAGACACAGACCCAGACTAACCAGAACAGACCGCCTCTGGGCTCTGAGCCTTCCTGTCATTCTGCATTCGTCACAACACCACAGAGCGGAGTGTCTCTGTGAGACTAACACATCAGGACACGTCCTCTGTCTCAGCCTTCAGCGCCAAGCTTCACCAGAACCTCTGACCCATACAGCGTGACCTGATTCAGGAGGAGACGGCGTTTAACCCGCAGCCAGGTGAGGACGCTCGTCTCAATCTTCTGTTTAATGAAGTTTAACCTTTAGAATCTGGTGTCCTGTTCAGGACATCACAGGAAGACGGCGTCCTGTGTGCGAGGGACTTTACCTGATCCTGTTAAGCAGAAAATCTGAAGATGTCCTACCAGGGACACCGTAGCACACCTGGCTGAGGCTCCTCCCCTCTAATGTGAGGTTCTAAGAGATGAAGGCAGGTTTTCTGGATACTGACTGTTGTCGCTCACTCAGCTCGTTGTCCTTGTCCCTCAGGTTGTCCTCGAGTCGCTCCATCATGTCAGCAGCAGCAGATATCTGCAGGTGAGTCAGAAATCAGAGTTTCTCCTGCCACCTCCATCACAGACTCAGCTTCTTTAGGCCTCATTTATGGAGATAAAAGCAAAGAGAGGACTGTTAGGCTCCGCCCACCTGATTGGACAGGTAGGTGGCTCTCTCCTCCACCTTCTGCTTCTCACTCCTCAGTCGTTCCATGTTTAGCTTTTCCCGTTCAAGCTCCGCCTCCTTCCTCCGTACCTCCTCCTTTAGCCGGCCCACACGGCGGTTCACCCTCTCCTCCACCTCGGCGAAGGCGAGGGCGATTTTATGATCCAGTCCCAACCCCAGTAGCTCCTCCAGCCCGATCCGCACCGGAAGACCCAAGTCCAGGTCCAGAGACCCGGGGAGAGCCAGAGCGGTGGACATGTCCCCTGGAGGAACAGTAGACAGCTGATCTGGAGGACTGAACATCTCCCTGATCATCTGGATGGAGGCGGAGGAGGAGGCGAGGTCCAGGCAGGCCAGAGGGAGGGGCAGGCTGCGGGGATCCATGCCCAGAGAGGAGCACTCCTTCTGGGATACAGCCGGACCGGGAAGTGGGAGCAGAGCTCCGGGTCTGGAGCTTCTGACTCGAGTCTGAAATGAGAGACAGAGTTAATGTTGGTTCTGGTAGAGGTTCTGATGTCTGTGGGGTGGGGGGGCTTAGGCTCCTGTCTGAAGATGGCAGCCTTAGTAGGAGCATGGATTCCTCCATCCTAGGTCAGCTGCTCCCATCTTCTAAACTCAGATCCTAAACTTGGAGCTGAAACGTTCCGACGCTGTCAGCTCCAAACCACCAGACCTCACCTGTGACAGGACCAACAGGGTCTCGTAGGTGTGTCGGCTGACCAGGTGAGCCCGGAGCTCAGGGACACACGAGAAGCGGAACTTGTCACCACATCGAGGACAAAAGTAGGGCAGCTCCGAGGAGGACGACATGATTCCGACTCAGGAATCCTGGAAGAGGAGGAATAAAAAGTGGGTCAGAGCATCTGAGTCGTCATCCCTGATCAGGTCGGAGAACAGCTGACTGGAACGGATCGGGCTCCTGGGTCCGACTCGATCTGAGCTGAGGTCAGAACCTCGTGTGTCTTTGTGGAGCGGAGCACTCAGCGAAGCGTCGCCTTCCACT